CCACCTGCCTCTGCCTTTCAAGTGCTGGGAGTAAAGGCGTCCACCACCACACCCAGCCTCAGGAAGTGCTCTTAATTGCTGAGTCATTTCTCAACTCCTTCCTACTTTTTTGGGGGGAATGGGGGTTTCGAGACAGGGTTTCGCTGTAGCTTTGGAGCCTGTCCTGAACCTCATTCTGTAGACCAGGTTGGCCTTGAGCTCACAGGGATCCCCCCTGCCTACTCCTGATTGGCCTTGAACACACAGAGATCCACCTGCCTCTGCCTCTCAGGTGCTGGGAATAAAGGCGTGCACCACCCGGCTACTTTCTACTTTTTTAAGAGACGTTTTCTAAGATAGCATTTTATCAAAATGTCAAAAAACAGAGTAAGGCAGGAATGTTCAAGTTGAAGAATGTGAGACACACCAGGCCTATCTGTTAATCCCAGCGCTGGGAGCTCTGGGAACACAAAGAAATTGAGTTTTAAATCCACAGGTATCTACAGTCATCTTTGTAATTACTTTCTTTTAATCAAAACTTACCTATGTTAACTCTCATTTCTTTAGGGTCATTTGCAGGAGACCGACTCTTACTAGGTCGACAACTCATCTGTTCATTCAGAAGGGTGTGATAGTAAAACATGAGTTCAGATCCTGCCGGAGAGTGTTTATGTTTTAATCCTTTCTTCACAAAAGCAGTGCCTCAAGGAAGCGAGTCCATTCATACGGTCATGGAGGTCCTTCCTGAACCCTTCCGGGCACATTTCCAGGCTCTCTTAAGATGAGGGTTCCTTTCTACAGGGTGGGACTTACACTACCATACTAATAGGTCAGGCACCTTTTAAAAAGAAATTCCTTTCAAATAATACTTCAAAATATTAAATAATTAAAGGGAAGGGTGTGTTGGTTTCCATTGAGTCAGGATCTCATCATGTAGTCCTGGCTGGCTTGGAACTTCCCACGTAGACTGGGCTGACCTCAAATTCTCAGAGAAGCCCCCTGCCTCTGCCTCCTTAATTACTGGGATTAGAAGCTTTTATCACCCTCGCCATACTCATTGGGAAAAGGCTCTTTTCTTTACTTAAGAGAAAATTTTCTCCCTGGTTCAATATGAAATAATCATTTAAAAACTGTAAGAGCACAAATTTAAGATGGTATTAAATGTGGCAATTTTATCTGCTTTTGATATTGTATTTCTGTGTGTGTATATATATTATATTTTATATATATGTATAATCCATTAATTTTGCCAAATTCTACGTACGCTTTAAGTGTGATCTTCCAATTCATTTAAACAATTTCTTTAAAAGATATGAATTGGGGTCAGTTAATAGTTCTTGATCAAGCAGTTTTGTCTATGAGTAGCAATTCTCCCAGTGTCCACACGGGGGCAGGAGATACCGTAGATGTCTGCAACTGGGTGCAGGAGACTGAAGCTGGTATGAAGACTATCAGGACCAAACCCTCACCAGAACCTCTCAGTGCAGGTCAAAAACTTCTCACTGTTTCAAAAGCTTCCTCCCAGAGGGAGTTGCCGAAAAAGTGATCAGAGAATCTAAGACTAGGCTGGGAACTCAAAATTCCACAGCAGCATTTCAAAGACTCACTGTATAATGTGGAAACCTAAAGGCAAAGCTGGCAATAGTTTGCTCCTCACAGTGTTGCTATCACAACACACACGCACATGCACACAAGCACACGCACATGCACCAGGGAAGGGGGACTGAAGCAATGGCCTTACAGAAGCCTTGTTAACACCAGGTGAATTTCTGTTTGAAGTATACTAGAAATAGGAGGTTTTAACTATAGGAAACGTTGGCTTAGGAGTCTGAATGGCTTGGCTCCTGGTTCTATTTCTGACTTGCCTGTGATCTCCAGCCCTTGGTGTTGATTTGTCTCACCCGTGAATGAGCACTACAGCCTTTTTGGCAAAGAGAACTTTCTTCATGCAGATCCAAGACTGGTAACAATGAAACAGTAGCATCCACCCTGGGTAATCCTACAGACAGGAGCCCACCCACGTCCTTTGTGGTCCGGTCTTCTGCCTTTCCACACGGACTGTCTAGTCAGTTGAAGGGTTGTAAGCCACAGGTAATGGGATTCCTGCCTTGCATTACTTTGCTTCCTGTTTGCTGGTTACTCGCAGTGGCTAGTGACTGTGGGCAAAGTAAGTGGTGATGCAGGCTACCTTCACAAGCAAGAAACATGCTTACTAAACAAGAAGCATCTCATGGCTCGTCATTAACAGACCCTGTGGTACTAGAAATGAAAATAGTGACAACATAAAACACAAATGGTCCTTTCCCAGAGGGAAGGGATGCAGACAAACCACAGGAGAATGACATCCACTCTCCTGGTCAGGGTGCAGGAACAAGGGGCAATGCTGACGACAGGCAGCAGAAGCACCCAGGGGTGCAACTGGACAGAAGGAAAGATGAGGGCTGAGGGGTTGGCTGGTGGATTTCAAAAAAAAAAAAAACCAAAAAACAAAAAACAAAAGATGTTGAGAAGTCGCATGCAGAGAGAAGAGGAAGGAAGGAGATGCATTTGGTATTGATGTTAAGCACCAAGGATACCCTCCCTGGATAACAGTGCTCTGACAAGGATGTGTGCACCAAAATGAAGGAGCATGAGGAGCGAGATCATTTTGTAACAGTGGCTAAATATCTGCCTAATATTATTTAAAATTTCTGTTCCACTCTTTTCATGCCCTTAAGCTGGTAAATGATAATAAGTCATCTGAATCGTAGAAAGAGGAAGGATGGAGCTAAAGTAAACACCTTCACATCCAAGACAGACAGACATGAGCTGACTAACCCTAGCCGACATACAATGGGTTGGCGAGCAAGAGCAATGACCCGTACAGACTCTGGAGCAGTGTGATCTTGGGCCTCAGTTTCCCTACCTGTAAAATAGAGACAACATAGCCTTTGTCTCAGGCTTATTATGAAGATGAAGCGAAAACTGTCTGCAAACGTCATGGAGCCATACCTGGCGCAAAGGTTCCCTGTGGACGTTTTGCCATATCGAGGCGTGGAGGCGGGTGTCCAGGGTGAGAGGCATGCCTCTGACCTTAAGTCAGAATAAAGGTAAGCAAAACTGCCCCTGGCAGCTTGCTTTCAGGCCTTCAGGGTCCCAAAGAAGGGAGGACGGGAAGGCAAGGGGCGGGGCGGAGAACCCACGGAGAAACAGCCACCTCAGATCAAACCAACACACAGAGTGTCAGAATCACTCCTTCCTGGGTCTATCCTTGACTGAATGACCTTGGAAAAGTCACTTATCTTTCAGTCTTTTTCCCCCCTTTCCTCATTTTTTAAATCCCTGAAAGTGGTATGATTGCGGCGGGACGTTTAAGGTTGGTGCTTGAGCACCCCATAGGGACTACGGACAACTTCTGTCCAGAGTGCTGTATGAGAGAAGCAACCCTGCGCGGCCAAGTGTAGCAGCGTCCAGGCTCCGGGAACCCGCGGGGCGGTGGGCGGGGAAGACACTGGGAATCTGGGGACAGATAAAGGAAACTCGTGATGGGGTGAGGCTGGACTGAAAAGAAACAGATTGGGGTTGAGCTGCGAAGGGAGGGGTCTGGTGGGGGAAGAGAGGGTGGGAAACAGAGACTTGGGAGGCACAAGAAGAAACACAGGCAGGCCAGCGGCGTTGTGGGGGGCAGGGGGAGATGTATCTAACAGGAATGAGAAGGAACTTGAGGAAGAAGGAAGTCCTGAAAGCAGCAGGAAAACGGAAAGGGGAAGTACGGGTGCAGAAAAAGAGGGAAGCCAAGCCCCCAAGGGGCCCGAGAAACCGGGGATCACAGGAAAGAGAAAAGAAGCAGCTGCGCCAGACGTTGGGGTCTGCGAGAGAAGAGACTCGGGCCTGCAGGGAAGCGCAGCATCTCTGAGCACCGCTCCAAACTCTGAAGACCGGTGGCCTTTGCCTGACCTCGAAGGTCGGGAATAGACGCGGGACGTTGTGGAAGGCAGCATCCTACGGAGAGAATGAGGCTGTGCAGGACTGGCCCCTTCGCCTGCCCTCCTGGGCTCAAGGTTGAGCCTTTGGCGGGGGCGGGTGCTAACGCCAACTTGGGGGTTGAAGTTGAAGCAGAGGGGAGAAGGTACCACCACCGCGAGCCAGCGCGCGGCCGGCAGCAGAAGCACCCGCTCCGAACCAGCTCTGGCCACCGCCGCTGCAGCTTCCCGGGTTCCTGGATCCCCGGGCCGCCGACTCCCAGGAAAGTACGGGCTACTGGCGGCAATGGCGTGCGGCGGGGCAGCGTTGCGGAGGGTGGGCTTCTCCGCCTTTGCCAGACGGCCCCGGTGCTGCGTGCGGGCTCTGGCTCTCCAGCCGAGGAACAGCGGCGCTCGGTCCCCGCTCGCCCTGCCAGCGCTCCCGATTCCGCCGGGCGCTCGCTGCGAGCAGCTCGCACGCCT